TAGCGTGTCTTCTCCTCTTGTAATTTTCATTCCTAAAAAGGTTTCTACTTCGCCCATATCTATTGCTGAAAATGTAGTTTTTAAAGCAGCAATAAATGCGTCACTATTTCCAATCACCAATAGATCGTCAACGAAAACCACTACCCAAACTTTTTCATTATAATAAAGGCAAACATCGTGCAAAGATCTTTTTAATCCTTGATGCTGTACAAATTTATCAAAGGCATCATTCCAGCATTTTGGTGCTTCCTTTAATCCATACAAAGATCTTTTCAATTTGAGTACTTTGTTGTTAGTATCTGGTGATAACATACCTTTAGGATATTTAATGAATACTTCGGAATTTAAATAGCCATTGAGAAACGCTGTTGGAATATCAAATTGACGAATAGGCATATTATCTTGAAGTGCTCTAACCAAAAACATCCGTATTGTAGCCATTCTGGCTACAGGTGAATAAAATTTGTTGTATATATTGTATTCTTGAATTTGTTGAAAGCCTTTTGCTACTAGACGTGCCTTTTTTATGCCATTTTCTTTAGTTCTGAAGACCCATTTTGTATCAATGGCCTTCTTATCTGGAGGCAAGACTGCAGGATGCCAGGTTTCGTTTTTATGTAGAGCTTTCAGTTCTTTGTCCACGGCTTTTTGCCACTCAGGAAATTTAATTGCTTGCTCATACGTTTCAGGGTCATTTTCGTTTGCTATTAAACAGTATGCCGAATATAATTCAAATTCGTCGAATTTACTAGGTACTTTTTTTGTTCTTTGAGGTCTCTCTATTGAGCCACTTAGTGTGTCTTTAATAGTTTCTTTTTCGGGTTTATTTTCATTTTCTTCTATTTCTTCGTATTGAATTTCATATTGGTTGTCTTTATTACTATCAGTGATAATTTTATTTTCTAAATAGTTTATATCACTTTCATCAAACCTCACGTCTCTTGATATGAAAATTTCATTTGTTTTAGGATCCCAAAGTCTATAACCTGCTCCTGCATATCCTACCATTCGTGCTTCTCTAGCTCTCGTCTCAAGTTTGTCTGCTTTTGGAAGTTTATAAGCATATGCTTTTGATCCAAAAATTTTTAATTTGCTGAGGTTGTTTCTTCCTTGACATATTTCTACAGGTGTATTACCTTTTAATACATTTGAAGGTGATCTATTTAACTGATAAGCAGCACAACGAATAGCTTCACCCCACAGAAATTTAGGCATACTAGTTTCAGCAAACATAGTTCTTACTTTATCAAATAAAGTTCTATTAAGTCGTTCTGCTACTCCATTCTGTTGAGGAGAATATTCGATCGTGTATTCTAGTCTTATACCTTTAGTATGGCAAACATTTTTCAAATCTTTTGTAGTAAATTCTCCACCTTTGTCGGTTCTTATTCTGCTTATGGTGTTTCCTTTGGCCTCCATTTCACGAATATAACTTATGAGGTTATCTTTTGCTTCAGCTTTGGATTTTAGTAAATAAATTACAGTGAAGTGAGAAAAATCATCTATAATTGTTTGATAATATTTTTCATTATTCAACGTGGGAGTACTGATAGGACCCCCCAAATCGCTGTGTAGGAGCTCTCCTACTCTTGTTGATCTTGGATGCTCTAAGCTTTTGAATGGTAGTCTTGTTGATTTTCCTTCCATACAAGGCTTGCACATATCTGGGCTAATTGGCAATTTCAAAATTTTTAGGCCTTTTCTATTTAGATGGCCTAGTCTTCTGTGCCAAAGGTCTGCACTAGTTAGCATACTGTTTTCTTTTGCTGCTCTTACAAAAGTGGCTATATACAAGTTTCCTACTAGGTTACACATCATAACTAAGCCTTTGTTATCTGATATCTTTACTTTATTTTTATGAAACTCTACTTTTTTACCAGATTCATTTATTTTTCTAACGGAAAGTAAATTACAGGTAAGATCTTGAACGATTAATGCTTCCAATGTAACCTTTTTGTTTCCATATTTTAATCTTATTTTTCCTTTCTTCTCTGCTACTAGAGATTGACCATTTGCGATTCTTATTCTAACTACATTGTCTAATATCTTAACGTCAGTCATGCTTTGTTCTTTTGTTTCTTTTATTAAATGTTCTGAGGCTCCAGAATCTATGACAAAATTAATGACATCTACATTATCTTCTACTTTCATTTCTGCACTAAGTGCTACAAATGATACTTCGTCTTCGTAGTAATCGTCACCATCGTCTTCTGCTATGTTTGCTCTATCGCTATAATTTCTTCTTGAGTATGAGTATCTTCCGGGTCTACTTCTATAACTATACGGGGCTCTACTTAGTTTTTGATTATGAAAACCTCTATTTTTCTTTCTACATTGTGACGCTAAGTGATTTGTTCCACCACATTCATAACATCGTCTGTCTTCTCTGTGAGAATTAAAGAAGGTGCACTCTTGGCTTGATTTTGGTTCAATTTGATTTTGACTATTTTTCATCTTTAATTCCGCATCCAAAAGCCTACTTTTTACAAATTCTAATGTAATATTGTCAGATGTTAATGTTTCTAGTGCCGTGATTACAGTATCGTATGTTCCTGGCATTGTGAGTAGCAGGTGGCAAATTTTATCGCTATCATCAAGTTTGGTTCCTGTGGCTTCCAGTTCTCTGATCAATCCATCAAACTCTACGAAATGATCTTGTAAATTATCTTTGGAACATTTTAAAGACAAAAGTTTCTTTCTGATAAAAAATTTCGAAAAAGAGCTTTTTCTTTCGAATACATTTTTCAATGCAATCATCATTTGATAAGCAGTTTTTGACTCTTTAATATACTCCAGATGACGATCAGTTACGCACTGTATAATTATAGAACGAGCTTTAGCATCCTTTACTAGTAGATCCTCTTTCTCTTTTTCTGGAGTTTCAGTGGTATATAGTTCTTTTCTTATTACGTTTTTACATTGCTTTTCTTCTAAAATCGCTTCGACTCGGAATCGCCAGTTTGAAAAATTTTCTGCAGATAGCTGCGGTAATTGCTGCAATGCTCCAGACATAATTTTTATTTTCAGTTTGATTTTACTCGCGTTCTGGGCTCATAACCTGTTAGACTTTCAGGAAATAAAATGGATTATCTTTTCATATTATAATTTTTTATTTTTTTAACAACTTTCAGACTGACTGACAAAGGTTGACATTTTTATTATATTTATAAAAACTGTTGCTACAACATTAACTAAAACTATCAAATCAATCACTAAATCTTAACATGAACACTTAATCTTAACAACTGTTACTACCTCTCCCCTAGGTATCTACCGTTGTATGAAGAAATATAGTAGTGTAACCTTATGGACTTATCATTGGAGGACGATGGACATAGAATGTAGATGGCGATACTGTACTTATGTCCAAGTCAGGTCTTTAGGTCATGTCTGTGCTTGAGTATGAATTATAATTTAAAATCTTCTTTTTCATTTCTACTTGTCTTCGGTAATGTATTTTTATAGTTACAATTTACTATTTCAAATTATTACAAAAGCACAGAATACAGGGTATTTGAAGGTCACATAAAATGCGAAAATAATCGATATAATAAAATAAACCAGTTTTTGTTTGAAAAAGATTGAATTAGTTGAGATTGGGTGGAATTTTACTATAATAGGGAACATTTTTTTCTATATTGTGGTTGGATTTTGGATATATCGCTGATGGTTAATTAAACTTGAGTTGTACGCTGTTAATTTATATTCACTTTTATTTAATGGTATCATCAAATTAAGAATAGGACATGAACAACTGAATATTATTGTTCAAAATGAGACGAATAGTCGAAAATAAAAAATATTTGGATAAAATGTTCTGAAATACAGGATGTTAAGTTGAAAATTAAAAAAGTAATAATGGGTAAATATATAGGTAGTTATAATTTTAATATTCAATATAATTTTACTAAAATCGGCACTGACAAAATTTAACTAACAGATTTTTTTGCTGTTAGGTAAACTTATAACACAACACCAAATTATACTAAGTAATAAAAACATGTAAGCCTCTTTAAAAAAAATCAGTTCTCGATCACCAAAGTAGCATTTCGCGTACTAGATACAAAAATAACTATTTTAATTGGCCTGTTAAACATTATTTTATTATGATTAAATTAAATGGAAAATTAAAACAAATATATTTGAAAGTAATGTAACTTATAAATTTGAAATACCTACATACCATTTCTTGGTAATCTAGTCTGCATTCCGCAGTAAACCTTTTTAAATTAAATTTGTCCCTGCAGCAGTATGTGTTATGTCAAATCTATTTAATCCCGCACCGTTACGTTCACTAAATAAAAATTAAAACCGTTCGTCCGCTAGCTCAAATCCCTGGTCAACGGTAGAATCCTCAATTTTATAAAAAATAAATATTCAATTTGTTTTAGGATCGACTTTGTTTTGCATGACATATTAAAACTTATTACGTTCATGTAGCAATTAATTATAAGTTTCCAAATTTCTTAAAGTAAATTCTTTTTTTTCTGGTTTACTATACTCTGTACGCTCATGAGTGTTGTTTTTATTTCTTGATATATTATTGCATTTTACTAAACAGAAAACATGTCTCTTCTCAATAGATTTCACTTCCATATAGTAAATTAAAATGTAGTGCACACTCTTGTGTACAATGCTTGATTTCTCCTCTATATGACACTTCAACGATGAATTATATTATTTTGTTTTATGTATATTTTTTACAATTTACCAGATTAAAGTAAATAAATTTAGCTAAACGATTCGTTTTGTGTAGTTTTGGTGAAATAATCTAAATAATTACATTTCTAAATTATTATCTTCAGAAGGAGTTGTAACATTCTTATAAAAAAAACTTGAGTCATATATAGGGTGTTTCATTGGTAAACTAACAAACGATAACTGTGGTACACCAAGATAGTACACCCTATATTTACATTTTTAAACTAATATGGTTTAACTATCATATCGATAAAACAATTTATTTTTCATTTGATCTCAATGACTAATTTTAATTTCAGATATTTGTTGCAATCCTATGCACTTTTGTGGTATGGCAACAAGTTGCTGCTGTAGTCAACAATAATCCATCATCAGTAGAAAAATCAAGCCCAGTACCTGCCGATAATCCGGAAGAGAGTAAAGAAAAAGTAGAAGATGATACACAAGCTGCAGCGACAGAAGACAAAGGAAATAGAAGGGAGGCGACTCTAGGTGATACATATGGAGCACCAGTCCCTGTACCACTTGATTCTTATTTACCAGCTGAACCTAGCAATACCAATTTTCCAGTACCGGTATATGGAGTACCGGAATCTCAATCTAATAGTATAGTTTATCCGGAACCGCCTCCTGATATACCTCCAGCAATTTCCGTACCCTCTTCTTCATATGGATTACCATCCATATCTAATTCTTACGGGCCTCCACAAAAAGTTAATTTTCTACCACATGGTAATTCATATGCACCACTCAGCAATAATTTTGGACCATCTAGTAATACTTATGGACCACCTAGAACCCAATCGTTTGGACCGCCTAGTAATACGTATGGACCTCCAAAATTTTTAGGACCTGTACGAAAGCCTGTCTATGGACCGCCTCGTTCACAGTATGGCCCACCTGGTAAACCAGTACCAAGTAATAAGTATGGATTTAAGCCACCGTACAAAAATAATTTTGGATTTGGTAGCGGTAAATTCTCAAATAAACCACTTTCAACATATGGTCCTCCAGTAGGTTATTTTAAAGATAATTATAGTCCTATTAAATTCACTTCAAATTTCAATTCAAATAATTTTCAATCTCATGACGATTCATTCGGCCAATTTGGATCCGGAGGAGTGAATAATAAATATGGACCTCCAACTTTTGACTTAGGAGGTGGTAAAGGAATTTCTAGTCAGTATGGGGTTCCTGATATAAATTTTTCAAATCAAGGTGGAGGTAATTTAATTTCTTCTCAATATGGACCTCCAAATAATAACATACTTGGTTCTCCTAAGCCTCAGTATGGGCCTCCCCAGGCTCAATATGGACCTCCCCAGGCTCAGTATGGACCTCCCCAGGCTCAGTATGGACCTCCCCAGGCCCAGTATGGACCTCCCCAGTCCCAGTATGGGCCTCCCCAGCCATCACCACATCCTAGACCACCACATCCTGGTGCTCCTGCACCACCTACTCCTCCAGATATTAAATACGATGGTTGGCAACCGATACCTGGACTAATATCAAGAGTACCTTCTCCTGAGTATGGTGTACCTTCTGGAAATCATCAACATGTTGAAGGTGGCGATCTTAGTTATAATAAAGATTTATCACCCCCACCTTTAGATGGCAGACATACCGAACATCAGTCTAACAGTGATGGTTCTTTAGCTAATCTTGAATTAGAGAATTCTTACGGACCACCACAACCACCACAAAAGGCAGTGAGTGACTCATATGGCGCTCCTCTCAATACAGTTACAGGATCAGGAGGAATAGTGAGTACGTCTGGAGAGGAGGCACATGGACATCGTAACAACCATAATGAACATAATCACCATGTTGGCTTGAATAATGAACATAATCACCATGTTGGCTTGAATAATGAACACAATCACCATGTTGGCTTAAATATTGGTTTATCAACAGTTGGAATATCAGGACAAAATGTGGACGCTATAAAAAGTATAGGTTATGAAATTTTCCCTGGCGGATCTTCTTCTTATCCAGGAGGGCAGCCTTCTAATACATATGGAGCTCCACCTACCAATTCTTATGCATCATCACATTCCTATAGTAATGTTAACTTTGGATCATCACATTCTCATAACTCGTTCAATTCGCATAAGACTCTTGGACATAAAGGTTTCTCATCTAATTCAGGGATAGGGTTAATTCCTCCAAGTGGAATATATGGAGCACCTAGTGGATCATACGGAACACCATTGTTTTCTAAAGGTCCTTCCTCTTATCTACCACCTAAGCCTTCTAAAGGTTTTGGTCATCATGGCCCATCAAACCTATTTGGTCCAAGTTCACATTCATCTGTGTCATTCCAAAATGTTAATCATGGATCATCAAGCTATAACAATATTGGATCCTCGTCAGGTTATACCAGTTACAATGCTCCTCTTAATATTGTTGATGGTTCGTATAATATACCTCAAGGATCTCAGTTAGGTAGTAATCTAGTCAGTTTGGATTACAGCCATCCAGGTTTAACAATAGACCTGACCCAAAGTCACGGACAAACAAATAATTTTGCTAATGCACCACACGATTGCAAATCTCAGTCTTTGCCATCTCTTTCATATGGAGTACCTTCTGTAAACAGCTACACAGCAGCACTATCTTCACTTACTACGAATATAGGACATAGCGGAAGTGCCATTTCAGGCTCTTATGGTGTTCCAGAATCCTTACCTATTCCACAACATCAAATTGGAGTAGAACCTAAACCCCATGAAACCTATGGTGTTCCAGATTTAACGGTTTCTCATAGTCAGAAAGTAAGTTCGGAGGTGAAAGCTAATTCTATTGAAACGGATACACTGAATTCTGAAGGTAAAACTTATGGTAAATCAGTAGCTGCAAACTTTGGTCCCAGCAGCGAGTTGGTACAATCCCAAAGTATTGATTTCAGTAATATTCCCCTACAAGGAGCACTAGGATCATACACTCTACAAATACAATCAGCCGAAGGAGGTCAGTCGCAAGTACCACATGGGCAGGTCTTAAATGATGGTCTACTTCAATCTATACTAGCTGCTATTGAGCAACCAAAAGGATCAGCTTCAGGTCAACCCATAATACAATTTCAGAAAAGTTTAGAACAACAGAACTTTGTAACAAATGATACAATTTCTTCGGTTGTAGAGCAATTGACTGATGCTGAAATTAGACATTCAACACAGTTGGCTAGAGATGAGATACTGAAAACGTCTGAAGTAAAAGATTCTGAAATTAATTATCCTCCCATGAATGGCGATGTAAATATAGCCTATTCTTCTCCTAGTAGTGACGTTCAAATTCAGTATTCTCCATCCTCGAGTGATCAAGATATTCAGTATTCTCCGTCCTCGAGTGATGAAACTATTCAGTATTCTTCATCTTCAAGTGATCAAGATACTCAGTATTCCTCTCCTACTCAATATATAATAACTGCATCTGATGATGTTAATGAAGACAAAAACGTCGAAAATAATGAAGTAAATTCAGAAGACTCGGAAACCCCAGTGTTACAAGACAATGGTATAGCTTTATATTTCAACAACAACCAACGATTAAAGAAAGAAACTGACGAGAGTGCTACTGGTGAACAAAAATTTGAAAAAACTAGTGAGCGCAATGAATAAAAAAACAATTTTCATCTTTTAGACTGTATAATTGCTCAAAAATATTCGTGAATTTTTTGGTGTCACTAAAACAACGTAGAACTTGAGTGTTTAGTGTCTTTTTGAAATTTTATAATTCGATTTCCTCTATTTATTTCTTAATTAATTATTTATTTATTTTAAAGTAGGTTGTTAGAAATAAAAATATATAGTTTTATTCGTTTTTTTACTTATAAGTACCAGTTTACAGATATTTAAAAAATTACAATGGACAATATTTCGGAAAAACGAAAATATCAAAAATCGCTTGAAGCAGGTTGAGACACCTTTCTATCATATTCTCAAATGTCATCCCCTTTATAAAACTAACCAAGAGAATTTAAATGTAATGACAAACACCTCTGTATCTGTAACGTATGGAGGGTGGGTTAACCCACGGCACTTATATGCTTATTTAAGTTTAAATTATATTTTGTAATATTGTGTACTTATTAAGTTTTTAATAAAATTAGCTTTCAAATTAAGTGTCACACTTAAAAATAATTAACAGTTTTTATCTCGTTAGAGGGTGCTATAATAACAAATGCAATAAACAATCATATTGCTGAATTTTCCAAAAAATTACCTTCCTAATGTGTCATACTTAGTACTTTCGCTATTTAAATTGTATTGGTTAATGTGACAGAACGCAGGGAATGACGTATGTCATTTGAAGATATGATAGAAAGATAAACGTCGACCTGTGCCAAACAATTTTTATTAGTTTAATTTTTTCAGAGATAGTAAGTTTTTAAATTTACACATATATACCAAAGAACCATCTACGGTTGATTATCTATAGATTTAAGAAATATCTTTAATTCCCTTGTAGCGTGTATCATCTAAACTTATCTTTATTCTTTAAAATGTTAAAACTTCTTAAATAGGAGTTTAGACAAGAACTTTGGAAGTTTAATGCATATTATACAACCCCTTTTATAAAGGCCTTATGCAAATATAAATGGTTTAATTCAAAATTTGTGAGCGCTGGAACAAGAAAGCTAAAAAATAATTATTCAAAGGGGTGCCGCTGCTCTGCTAGATTTCTAAACGAAATTTTCAACACTTTTATTAGAGCACAAATGAAATATTTTCCTTGTTAATTAATAAATGCATTTCTTGGTTTCTTAAGAACCACTATATTCATCCTATAGTCAAATCAAAATACTACAATTTTTTTTGTTTATATATTTATTTCGTATTGACAGGATTAATACAATAAATTATTATTTTAAATGAAACTGTAATAATATCTTCCAGCATTAAAAATCATTAGAAAAATATTGATTAGATTTAACCATAACCAGTAACTATTTATATTAAGTATTTTTTATAGATTAGGTATTTATTACTTCAGTTTATTAATTTTTAATTTTTTATTTATTAAGGTTAGATAGATAAGCACTATATATTTAAAATATGAATCTAAGAATATTTTAGATCATGACATATTGTACTTTAACAATATGTACACTATTTTGGCAATGTTATATTTTCTGAACTTACAAAAAATTGGAGGGTGTAATAGAAGATCCAAGAAGATTGTATAATGATGACGATACGGTGTTTCAAATTCGCCAGGAAGAAAGGTACTACTCTACAATGTATAATAATGTTTAATACTGAAGAACATAGTAATTATTCAAAAAAGAACGTTTACTGTAATTAACAAAAAAAAAAAAAGGTTTGTATTTTGTGCAAAATTATTTATTTAAATTGCAAAGCGGTTTCGGCACAATGTCATCATCAGTGCTCATCTACAAAGATTGTGAGTGTAAATATATAAATGATGTAAATATAAACTAGAAAATTGAGTCACAATTAAAAAAATATATTTTTAAATCAATAATAAATTCTAGAATAACCCAGTATTGGAGACAATTTTTCAAATAGAACCTCAAAAAAGCATGTGTTGTCCCAATTATTGTCCGAATTGGATTTTGCTTACAGTTAAAAACAAGTTTAAAAATTAAGAAAGAGGATATGTGATGAATATAATTGAAAATTGGTTTGAATTTAAAAGAAGATTGAAAATTTTTTATCAAAAATAAGTTAAGTTACAATACATATTCAAAAATTTTAGCAGTCTTCTTTTCAAATAAAATTAATTAGAAGCGTGCCTCCTTGTTAAATGTTATTATTATTATTATTTTTATTAAAATTGTTATTGCAAAAATTTAAATCCATGATTAGTATATTTGATTAAAATTCAATTAATTTAGTTTTCAGTGTTCTCTATATTTAAGCGGTTGAAATGACAGCGGTGACAGGTGACATCTTGGAGCATATCAGACTAGAGGTGTTACTCAAATGGGTTTGTTATGTACTGAGGGGGGTAACCCCTTCGGAGTTAGGTAAACGATGCATTATGATTGGCGAGTTAGGAACACGACGATTTATGATTGGCGAATTTAAATAACGCGCGTCTTTGTGATAAATGACATTTGATTTGAAGTCTTGTTTTCGTTTTTAAAAAGATCATTTTTTGTGGCTTCCAAAGGCAATTTGGACGAGGTGTCTCTTTGATAAGCTTTTTAAGTGTATTTTTATTATAAAATAAATGCTAATCATGCTGAAAGCTTGTATAGTTTGCAATAATAAACTTTTAAGAGGATCCTGGTTGACGTTTCACAAGTAAGTATTCTATATTTCATAAACGTAACTTAAAATGGGAAATGGGCAAATGAATAAGAAAATATGTTTGTAGAATGTGCTTTTCTTTTTAGCATCACCACAACTGGTTGCGTTCGACAGAAAATAGTTGTTTTCTTTTTGTATAATGTAAAATGGATTAGATATATTTTTGTATTGTACATATTTATTTAACTGCCATTAATATTTTAAATCTTTTTTTTACTTATTTCAGATTTCCCGCTGATCTCACAACCAAACTGTCATGTATTTAATTTGAGCAATAATAGCATTTCTAACAACACATGTCTGTGTTCAGACCATTTTCAACTGAACATTATTATAAAGTTAGCAATAGATTAATAAAAGGATCTTCATCAAAAGCTGTACCTGTACCTACTTTGCTTTAGAAATGAGTTCTGTACATAATTGTAATTCGATATTTCTATATGTGACTTTCGAAACACACTTATTTGCTTATTTTGTTAAATACTAAACATATATTATTACATTATTGTTTACAGGTTTAAAAAGAACGACGGTAAAGAAAATATGCCCTTATCTGCAGTTCCTAACATTGGAAAAATCGAAGTTGGAAAAGAAAGATAAAAGGCTAATGAAAAGGTATGATTAGCTCATATATTTTTAAAAACCAAACAGGTGTTGTAATAATAATAGCCTTTGGAACTTTTGAAATTTAATTAAATGTATATCATTAAAAATCTGCAGAATACATTTTATGTACATTTCATTTGTAGGAATGAAAATATGCAAGACTGGGAATTTCAATCTCTAACTCTCTTTAGAAGACAAAAAATGGTTTAAAATTTGATAAACTCTTCACCTAAATCCACAATATCTGTAAGCTCCCTATCATCTATACTAACCGCTTCTGAAAGGGAAAGAGAACTTAAAAAAGAAAAACTAAGGTTTGTTGCAGTCAAATAAGATATTTTATCATATAATCAAGCATTATTATTATTTTAGGAAAAAAATTTAAACAGTTATTTTTTGATAGAAAATTAACTCTTGCCCAAAAGAAGATTCTATGCAAAAAAATGTAATTAAAAAATATATTTTACACAGTAAATTGGAATAGGATATATAAAAAAAATAAGTCTTTTATCAAAAGTACAGATGTACTTGTGAATGTAAGAATTAATTCCAGTGATTTTCATAAATGTTTTTAATGACGAGGAAACATTTTATTTATATGTTATTTTGGATCAAATTAGTTTATTTTTTAGGCTTCTCTTGCAAGTGGATCTAAGGAATTGGTCAAGAGAGCAATTAAAGATCATTCCGGAACAATATATTCCCCTGAATTAAGAGCGTTTACACCAACTTTAAGCTTGTACAGTATGAAGGCTTATATATATGTGAGGGCAAAATTTAACAATTGTCTCCCACATACAAGACCAGTACTTTATCAAAGTGGTGTTAGGCTGTTGATGGTTCTCCTGGATTAACTGAAGAGCATTGAAATTTAAAGGCGGACAAAGTCAGAAGGTAATAAAAAACGTTTTTTGAATCTTTTGATGGATGAAATGGCAATTATACAAAGGGTGGAATGGACTGGCCAAAAATATATTGGATATGTTGATGTTGGCAGCAAGTTTCAACAAAATCAGTCTGTTAAAGCAAAAGAAGCTATTATATGTTCTGCTTGTAAAGTTAATAAATATGTCTATTACTAATAGTTAGGTACCTACTCTATTTAAATTATCTTTTGTATGTGTATATAGTATCTATTGTGTATATATTAGTAGTATGTAAGTTTTTGTGGATAATTTTAAAATGTTTTGTGTTCTAATATAGACAGTAAAATGAAACTGAACATTTTGTGCCTGAAAATGTGTATTATATATCTCACGAATAAAACGTATTTTTTCTGTATTCATCCTATTCTATAGGTAATTGGTTTTTTAATTGTTAAGTGGTGACCTAAACAAATAAAGAATAAATAAATTTCATGGAAATTCGGTAGCATTAATGTTTATTTCATTTTTTGTTTTGTTTTATAAATAGCTTACTTCTACACACATATATTAATATCTAGGCACAACCAATAACTATATTTTGATTACATTGATTAATAATTTTATTATAAAACATGTACATTTAATATTATTACTACTAGAAATAAATTATTGTTATTTGTTTTTATTTTTCTTTTATTTACTCTATATATAAAAATATTTCAGTTTCTAAATGATCTACTTGAACTAAACGAAAATAATGTGTGATCACGAATTAATTTGAAAGCATACAGTTTCAAAACCTATATCTACAATAAAAAAAAAGTTTTCAATCCTAAACGAACATTAGTCATTTCCAGAAAAACATAAATAAAAAAAGAACATTGTTTACTAAATTTGTTTATTAATCATGCGAATCAATTATCTAAATTATTAGTTATTCTGAAATTACAGTGCATAAATGGTAAACATAAATACGAGTCCTTTCAAACAGGACGCCATTAAGAATGAAGTACGTACCCCTCTCCCCTCA